TTTTTTTCTATGTGTCCGTTGTCAACACAATCGAAATGGAAACCCATGGAAACCCAGGTCTGATAAGATTTGTAGGGGGTGTTTGGTAGGGAGGTCGATCAATAGATGAGTGAATGGGGAGGGAGAAAGATGTGGGGGTGAGATTAACCGTTGCCATATTTACCATTTCATGATAGGAAAAAAAAAAAAAAAAAAAAAAAAATCGAGGAGGAGGAAAAACGAGGAGAAGAAAGGAAGATAATGGAGGAGGGGGAGGAGAAAAAGGAGCAGCAGGAAGGAAAACGAGGAGGAGGAACAACGAGGACGAGTGTAAACGAGGAAGAGGAAAAACGAGGAGGAGGATAAACGAGGAGGAAAAACGAGGAGGAGGATAAACGAGGAGAAGGAAAAACGACGAGGATGAAAAAAAAGGAGGAGGAGGAGGACGAGGAGGAGGACGAGGAAAAACGAGGACAAGGAGGAAAAAACTTGGAGGAGGAGGATAATGAGGAGGAGGAAAAACGAGGACGAGGAGGATAAACGAGGAGGAGAAAGGAAGAGAATGGAGGAGGGGGAGGAGAAAAAGGAGCAGAAGGAGGACAAACGAGGAGGACGATAAACGAGGAGGTGGAAAAACGAGGAGGAGGAGGAGGAGGAGAAAAAACGAGGATGATTGAAAAGGAGGAGGAGGAGGAGGAGGAGGAGGAGGACGGAAAACGAGGAGGAGGAGGAGAAAACTTGGAGGAGGAGGATAACGAGGAGGAGGAAAAACGAGGAGGAGGAGGAGAAAAAAACGAGGAGGAGAAAGGAAGATAATGGAGGAGGGGGAGGAGAAAGAGGAGCAGGTGGAGGACCTACCAACTTAGGAAAAAACGGGGAAGCTCCACGTGGCCGCTCCAGACGGTGACCTCCAGCAACTGTAATCGGCAGCCTCTCTCTCTCTCTCTTTCTCTCTCTCTCTCTCTCTCTCTCTCTCTGTGTGTGTGTGTGTGTGTGTGTGTGTGTGTGTGGGCAACAATGATGACGTCACCAGACCATACACCTCATCCTCGCGGAAACTAGCCCGAACACCTCGCCATAGCGGAAAGCAGCAGCACACAAGCTAACGGACGGATGGCAGCAGTGCAAGTGAGATGACCGTCGTTGTCTCTCACGAAAGAAAGCACGAAACGACAAGTCCCTCGAGCCTGCATAGGAAAAGGCCAGGCCCCCCCCCCCCCCCGCCCTTCCAAGAGGCCGAGGACCGGAGCCCGAAACGGCGGAACAACCCCCAAAAGTCGACATAGGCGACCTTGGCGATTTTTCACGCTTGGAAAAATTATCAGAAAAATCTGAAAATTTGAGGGTCCGTATATTTGCTTATTATCTTTCCAGAAAAAATATCAAAACAAATGTTAAAAATCATTTAAACCTCGAACCAATCGCCGCGCCGATTTCCTACATGTTCCAGTTATTGCCACTGTGTCATTTGTGGGCGAACAGGAAACGTGCTCCAACTGGAGGGAGTTTCCACGCTCCAAATAAAGTGTCGGCGTTCTCTGGAAATTTATTTGTCCGTAGAATTTTTTTTATTTTTTTTTTTCCTTTCAGAAAGAGATCGCTCCCTTATAAGA